TTAGTAATAAGTAAAATGCAAGAAATAAAGTCCAAAAAGTAAAAGCAATGAACCAAAAATTAAACATTGTAAAAATTTATAGTGGTTCACTCAACCTTGATCTATGCCCACTCTCCAAAGTCAAACACTAGGATAGTTGCACTAAAAACTTGATGACTCTCCTTTTACTAAAACAGTAAGGTAGAAAATCCCCTACAAATCACTTCCACCTCCTTAGTGCGACAGAGAATTCAAAACCCATTCCCCTTCCCGATGTATAAGGGTAATCTAATCCTTTCACCTCCTCGGTGTGGCCGAGTAGCCAAATCATTTTCACCTCTTAGATGTTGTGGATAAGATAGATCCTTCCCATAAAGAGACACCTCTCAGAGTTTCCCTCAAGAAAAGACATTGACCTTTGAGAAAGAAGGTGCAAAATTACCAAGAAATCATATGTTGGAATAACTCTCACACACTCTGTTATTCCCACAAGAATTTTTTCTCTCAAGTCCTCACCTTTCTCTCTCCCAAAGCAATGCTCCTTATTTAAAACGTTCTTATAGAAGCTCTCTCTCTCTCTCTCTCAAAAAATTATCAAAATACCTTCTTAATTGAATTAATAGGAGTATTTAAAGAAGGGATCACAGAACCCAAAAAATTCAACTCAACCATTATTGCTCATACTATATAATATGAGTGTCATACCTCATAATTATTCCAATAATCCCTGATAGTTCTACACAATGAAGGATGCACAATTAGATCATTTTAAATAATTTGATCTAATAATCATGTATGATATTACATTACACAGTATGATTTGTTCAATCAAATCTTATGTTAGTATAGGATGAAACCCTAGTTATTAATTATTGTCTTGGAATCTTCTTATTTTATCCCATACAATGTTATATCGTACCATATGAATAGTTTAAACTATCATATTTGTACTATAAAATCTTCAATCACATTTAATTATAATTTTGATTGCTTAATCTCATGGATTAATTTAGGCAAGATTTCTAAAGTTCATACAATACAAACCAAGTCAAACCATACGAATAGTACAAATTTTAATTTTTAAGAAGTTGCCTAAATATTATTAGCAATTAGGAGATCATAATGAAATGGATCATTCTGTACGATCACATTGGTACAGTACGATATGTTTAAAATTATTAATGTCTCAATTAGCTAATAAAATTAATTTTTTTGATCAACAGATCAAATAGTACAATAATGATTGTATTATATGAACTTTAGAAATTTTAATTTATTTATTTTTCACTCCTTGTGTGTGTGTGTGTGTGTATTGTTTCTAAGCTGGCATAAACCTTATATGCAACTTTTAACTCAAGAAATATAAATAAATGAAACTATAGACTCATATATAACATCAAACGTATTCTACCCAATCTTTTGTCGATCCTTTATTACATGGTGTATGGGGTAGCTAAAATTTTAGTTCACACCATGATAAATATGCAATGGAAATACAAGGATAAAAAAAGTAGAAAACTAATAGTGTTTGTTATCATCAAAATAATAAGCTTGGGATGCCATATAGAAACATCGTATACCTGATCCCTTACGTTCCTATAATGTTAAAAGTAGATTGTACATGAGAGTTGTTATATACATATAAAAGTCATTATAAATGTAATTTGTATATAGATCGAGTTGTACATCATCTTGAGGTATAAAGAGATAAATTCATCTTCTTATACATTCAAGCGGGGCATTAAAAGTTGATATATTCTCTTTTAGATGATAATCCCTTTTCAAATTCCTTTAAAAACTAGGAGCTCAAAGACAAAGAAGATGCATTTGATTCTAGATAAATTATAGGCTTAAAAATTTGGGTTTGTTGTTATAGAGACTGGCCACCATACATTCATGTAGAGTCTAATTCTATTGTAAAATTTCAAATCAATAAATTAGTTAAGTTTTATTTTATCTATACAATTTTCTTTTCTTTGCATCAATCCACATATTGCATGTATGTGGCTTACAATAGGGGGTAGCATATTTTCATAGATTTTCCATTGTAAGCATGATTTAAACATTGTAGGAATATTTATACTATTTCTTGGAATTTATTTCCTTGGTTACTATAATTACCAAATCCATTACCTATTCATGCATACATACATGCATATTTTACTTCTACCACGTTTGCTAGAGCCTTGGACTTTTACACCCATCATGGACAAGGTAAAGGGGTCCTCGATGTAGTCATAGGATGCTACACTTTTCCTGTTGGTATAGGACCTTTACGCTACCAAAATTTCAAAAAAATTTGAAGAGTTAAAAAAGTTTGTAACTAAATAAATATGCTAAAATTTAAAGTTTTTAGCGATTCATCTTGTTAGAATCATTTTAACTTAGAGTTAAAATTACTCATATTGAGTCACTGATTTTGATTATGATTTGTTACTTTGATCTCTAAGGATAGACCTAACTTTACTATGCACTACATCATGGATGAATTTTTGTGTATCAATTTTTTAGCTTACAGCTCGTTCCAAGTAGGCATAAGCCCAAAGGCATTTGTACATCTCACATTATATATATATATATATATATATATATATATATATTATTTTCTTATCGAAAACCCATGGAGGGTCCTACGCATTAATATAGGAAAAAATTACAAAGTCTTTAAAGGGACCTCGAGCCGACTAATGCTCAAAATGTTGCGGATCTGTTTTCATGGTTTATGATTTTGATGATAGCAAATACTCTTATTTCTCTAAGACTACCTTATCTACTAACATTTCAGGTTCACAAGATCAAGACTATAATTTGGAATCAGCTCAAGGTTTGGTAGACTAGGTCTGTGTCTGTTTGTACCATTTTTCCTTTCTTGAGTCTTTTGTAATTGTTGTGGCTCTTGATGTTAAGTAACAATGCACACACACACCTTGGAAGAATATCAGACTGTTCCCTAGAGTTTACTGTTTTTGATAACATCGTCTGAGATGATATTTATATCGGCCTTGACGATTAGTTCAAAAACAAAAACCCTAATTAGGGCATCATCCTTGTTAAGGTAGCTATCATTAAACACATAGTCCTGGACGATTTTGTATTGGCCAAGATGAAAGGCTCAAATCAGAAAGAATATGCTACCAGATCTATTTAGGAATTACTTATTTTTGGACATTATCCCAGTGGATCGGCCTGGCCTATCCAGCATAATTTTTCTTAAATAAATCTAGCAATTAAGGAGAGCAATTAATGGTGATTTGCACGATCACATCAACCGGGCCGATCATAGGATCGTCTGGTTCGATTTGACATCGGCCAGCTTCTTTTCAGGGCGATTTTTAGGATAATTATCCTCATATTTGAACTAATTGTCCAGTACGATATCCTATCGGCCTGTACGATATCCTATCGGCCTGTACGATATGGCCAAAAATTGACTAATCGTCCATAACCGACCAGGCTGATTGAGCATAATTTACGCTGATCGGCCAAGTAGATATTTATATCGTCCTGGATGATAAAGTCGGCAAGTTGTGTTAATGAACTCGTTTTGAGATCTTCCATTTAAGCTTTTGTCTTGGCACTTTTGTAAGTGTCTTTGGCAGCCATTCTAGATTCGTTCTTTTGGGTGGAACTTGAAGAGAGAGCTTGAAAGGGAGTGAGGAGTAGGTGAAGTTTGAGAGGGACAAGATCTTGTGACCCCAGAGCGAGTGTGGAGGAGGATTCCACGCGGTTGCTCCAACAGGCTTGCACCTTAATACTGTATGATTCAAGGCTTGTCTTGAGGGAAGTTCACTAAGGAAGAAGATCTCTTTGGTGTCAAAGGACCCGGTGACTCCGCCGCACCGGGGAAGGTGGAAGTGATTTTGTAAGGGCTTATCCGCCTAATTGAGGGGGATAAAGGAGAGACACTTAGTTTAGTGCAATATTTGGAGGGTGCCTCGAAGGAGTGGACGTAGGTCAAGGTTTGACTGAACCACTATAAATCTGGTCTGATCTTTGCTTTATTATTTATGCATTTATTTTTCTGCATTGTGTTTTCTCTGTGGTGAATCTTGGTTTTGGTTTTAAGGCTGTTTGTTTTAAAATATAGATTCACCCCTTTTTGGTTAGCCTTGGGATTGGTTCATAAGCGGCCTAACATCCCTAACAAACTTTCACAAAAGAGCTACAAAACTAAAAGCAAAAAAACCTACGAGCTCAAGATCCCTACTACGCAAAAGTATAGAATAACCTTGATACATCCTACGGTGCGCAAGGAGCACCCAAAAGAAGGAAGAGAATAAAAATAAGTTTGGAATAACATCTTCCCATCCAAATTTCCATCAGCACAAATACCTACAATAGTAATATCCTACAAAAACATATGATACCCACCACAACAATAGAACAAAGAGTAGTAATAACTTGCAATAAGAAAATTCACTAAAACATGGTTGAAACAGATTAAAATATGAAAGTGGAAAATAGAAAATAGCCACCTGGTAGGACAATACCAGGAACCCAAGAGGTGAGAAGGCCAAAAGCAAGACCCCACCAAACGCGTATCCCACCAAACAATCATGCAAAGGCACCAGGTTTCACTAGAAGAAGGAAAACTGGAACTAATGTAAACACCCAGACCCTCAGCATTAATTAAAATAGTCTCTCAAAGATAACCAAAGAAAACCCACTCAGAATCACAAAAGATATTCTGCCATAAGTAACTAAAAAACCTGGCAACAACAGATAACTCATTGCAATCCAAGCCTTTATAATTAAAATAGGACGGAATTGATCAAACATCAACCATCCACATAAAATGGAGACCCAACATAGAGCAAAGTACCATGAACCAACAAAAGAACATATACCAGAAAAAAAAAGTGAATAAGAAAAATCTCTAGACACACCAAAAAAGGTTCCCCATGCTGCAAAAAAAACCAACCAACAAATGATAAGCAGACAGACTAACCCGAAGAAGTAAAGCAGATTGAAAATGCCAGGAGGAACCCCATAGCCAACAGAGAAGAGCCACACCAGAAACACTAAGAAGTAACATATGATAAACCAATTTGATTCAATCTTAAGAGGCCTTTAACCTTAAAAGGTAGAATAGGAACCAAAATCTCAGTCATAGCATTCAAACTAAAACCCCATCTAGCAATCGACTGAGAACAAGCATTTCCCTCCTCAAGAATAACAGAGAAAGAGTTGTTTAAAATACTCAATAAATTCCTAATGTCCCTTCGAATATAAAACAAAGCAGAGGAACAAACTTTATCCTCCTTAGAATTAAGAGAATGATAATCAAAGTAAGAAGCAACCTCGACCACAACATTCATGTAATTAAGATTGGAACAAAGACTTAAACAATGAAGCACAACATAGGTAATAGAAAAATTTTCATCACAATTAGCAGTAGGACCAGTAAAACCCAACATATAATTACCATTATGATCTCTAGTAACACCACCATAGCCAATAATAGAATCCATTATCGCACTAGCCACATTCAACTTAGTAAAGTTAGGATGAGGCTTCATCCAAGAAGTACACCTAGGAACCTTATAAAAAATATCCACCTCTAAGTTAATACCAGAATAAGCCATAGTAAAGAAATAGTTCTTATAATTTTTGGTAGAAAGTAAATTAGCAGAGTAAAGAGCCACAACTTTGTCCTTAATATTATAGATAATTCTTTGATAGTCCATAACCACCCCATTAAAATGAGAATTATTCCACTCCAACCATAAGAGCCAAAGGATAAGAGAAGAAATCACATTTCTGACATCACCTTTGAAATTAACAAACCAATAGTTAAGCATAGAATTAATAGAACACATAAAAGTTAAATAATTGAATTGAAAGATGTCCTCAAAGTAAGTCCAAACATTAACAGCCAAGGAGCCATATATTAAAACATGATGCATATTATCCACATGGTAGCAGCATTGGCATTTAGAAGGGTGGATAAAACCTCTTTTCATCATATTCTCATCCGTAGGAATAAGCTTATATAAAATTTTCTAAATAAAAAAAGAAATCATAGAAAGTTTGCTTTTATGCCATATCATATTAACAAGATTGTATGTTTGATGCTTAGCTCTAAAGGAATGCCCGACATCATTTAAGCTAAAGCAACCATCTTTTGTCAATGCACAAAGCAACACATCATTCAAATTAATGTTCAGAGGTATCTTTAAAATATGATGAATAAAGAAATCAGGAAGAACACTAGAAGGTTTCTCCAAATCCAAACCATTATTATAGAAAAAGTAATTAACCTTCACAGTAGAATTAGAAGTAGTATTAGTTAAAGAGTCAATCGAATGGCCACTCAACCAATAATATTCCCAAATGAAAGTATTACCATTACCAAGACCCCACACAATAGAAGACTCAATAAACTAATTTAATAGAGCAAATGCACTACCAGACTTTAGAATTACCTTTACTAAAGCAACACATGGTGAGATGCCTTCCCCTATAATACTTGGCCACCATAAAATTAGCCCAAAAGGCTCACATTGGAATGAAGATTCTACCATAACTTGAAACAAAAAGCAAAGGCCAAATCAAACATAGACTTACATCCTAAGGCCCCTTCATGTAAAGTCCCACTCATTTATTCCAAGCAGACCCGTACCCTTCCAAAAAAAAATTATTGAAAATTCTATCAATCCTATTGCACATAGTCTTAGTAGGAAGAAGAGTTTGAAAACTATAAACAAGTATAGAACAAAGAATACTCTTTATAAGAATAAGCCGACCACAAAAACTTAGGAAATTTGAATCCCATGTAGGAAGTCTATTCTGCACCATAATAATTAAATCATAAAAAAGAAAGGACTTCTTTCTAACCTTATAAGGAGGCACACCTAAATACTTTAAACGTAAACAACCATGGCTAGTTCTTAACATGAATAAAATAACACTTATGCTTATTAAGAGCCAAACCACTTATTAATTCAAAATGTTTATAAATACACACAAGTATATTAATCCTATTCATCAAGGCATTCATAAAAATAATGAAATCATCAGCCAAACAAAAATGTAAAATTTTAGAGCCACCTAACGTTCTGAAGTAGAGACTAGGATACTTATAAAAAAGATTAGCAAGACTTCTAGACAGGTAGTAAGTAGAAATAATAAAGAGATTAGGCGAGATGTAATCCCCTTGTCTTAGACCATGAGAAGCCTTAAAAAAACCATGGCTCTAACCATTTACATTGATAAAAAATAAGGGCTTTCAATGCAATTCTTAATGAGGTTTATGAAATTTAAATCAAAGCCAAATAAATTCAAGATATTGTAAATAAAATTCTAATAATATCATCATAAGCTTTAGCAATATCCGATTTCAAAATCATATTACCACCTCTAACCTTAACATCAAAGTCTTGACAAAATTTTTGTGCCAAAATGATATTGTCTGTAATAGCACGCCCGTTAAAAAAGCTCATTTGAAAAGGGGAAATAGGCATAAGTAAAAAAATAGTTAACAGATTCATCAAAATTTTAGAAAGTAGTTTATAAAAGGTAGTACATAAACTAATAGATCTAAAGTTTTCAAAAAACTAACAGAAATGTCGTTGGGAATAAGCACAATAGAAGTAAAAGTAAAAAACCTCGTAATATGATTTCCATTAAAAAAATCAATGACATCAGAGAAAAAATCTTTATAAATAATAGGCCAAGTTTTATGAAAAAACTTCTTTGTGAAACCATCCGTACTAGCCACAGAATCACCATTTATATAAAAAATAATATCCTTAACGTCCTCAAGAGAATGAGATTTAGACAAGTCAAATATATCATCAAGAGAAATACTAATAGGAATAATAGATGAATTATCAAGAATAGAAGTATTAAAGGTTTTATTAAGATGATTTTGAAAATAATAAATAGCCAAATTAGCAATTTTAGCATCATCCTCAGAAATAGATCCATCGTCATGATTAATTTTGTGAATGTAATTAATAGCACATTTTTTATTAACCAAGGCATGAAAGTATTTAGTATTTTTATCACCTTCAACAAAATATTTAACAACTAATTTTTGCTTCCAAAAAATTTATTCTCGATCTTGTAATTTATAATGCTCATCCTTAGCCTCTTTCAAAAAATAGAAGTTGGTATCAGAAGGATCCAATTGATAAAGACTCTCATAAGAATTCACCCTATCTTTTGCAATTAAAATGTAAGAAATTTTTCTTAAAAAGCATTATGGTTCCACCAATTTAAAACTTTCATAAGTCTTTTCAGCTTAAGCAAAAGTCTATTCATACCAAAGATAGAATCATCAGGAAATATAAGGGCCAGCCAATTTTTCTTAACCACATCCAAAAAAAATTATGAAGTAACCACATGTTTTGATATTAAATTGAGATGGATAACCCATAGCTCTATTCTTAATTCTAATAAAAATAAGAGAATAATCATAGATGGTACAACTAAGATGTTCAACATCAATAAACTCAAAAAAATTAAGCCAAACATCATTAAATAATACCCTATCTATCCTTTGCAACAAATGCCCATGGTGCCAAGTGAAATTATTGCCAGAAAAACTAATATCATTAAGGTTGCAATCCATAATCATACCGTTTAAATCCACCATTGACTGATAGATAGAGAGTGATCCCCCTATTCGCTCAATCGGGTTAGTTATAATATTAAAATCTCCACCAACAAGCCAAGGAAGATAAAAAATACTATGAAATAGACAATTTGATCCATATAATCTTTCTAGTATAACAAGATGAGGCAGCATAAACAAAAGAATCAAAAATATTGGAAACTAAAAATTTTAATATTATAATGTAAGACTTGAGTAAAATTACCAATGATATCAATTCTAACAAAATATTTCTAAAAAACAAAAATTTTATTGGCCACATTCAACTTAGCATGTTTAAAAACCAAAAATTTAGTAGTACAAAGTAACTTATCAGTAGAAATAAGAGGCTCAAGGAGGACAAGAATAGATAAATTATGAATACGACATAAATTAACTCTAGCGTTAAAAGAAGGGCCATCCAATACCCCTAAAATTCCAAATAATTGTGTTAAACATGAGAAACAAAGATTAATGAGAAGTAAGTGAATGTATATTTCTGCGTGATTGTAAAATGACATTCCTTGGTTTTCTACCTCTGCTACCACGACCCTTGGCATAGCTCATATCATTATCATCTATAGCAAAACATTTAGCCAACATATCCACCTCCATGTTAGTAAAAGCACCACTAAGATAATTATCAATTAAAGGAAGCTTACTTTCTTTTATCATACCTAAATGCCCCGTAGAAAGAGGAAACTCACCATCCACAAAGAAAACAACATCTTCCATAGTGGTAACATTATTCACAACAACTCCACTAATTTCCCTCACTTTCTTAGATTGGACATTAGCCAATCTCTCTACTTGGGGCAAATCATCCTCAAGCAATATAGGCTAAGCTCTTTCAGGAATCTACTCATAAACTTGATCATTCATAATATGAGATTGAAGCTTATTAGAAAAAGTAGTGTCAACATCAATAACAACTATATCAGACAATGTTTGCTTTGAAACACAAGGATTAGATGAAGAAGAAGGCATAATAATGGTATTAGAATTGGTTGGTAACATTTGTTTCTCCCCTCCAGTGAGATCTGAACATAATATATTATCCAATTTGGGATCCACACTTTGATCACTGAGAAATTCACCCCCATTAGAAGAGGTAGGATCGGTATGAATTAAACCAGGCTATAGTATAACCTCATCATTACCTTGAGCCATATCACCATTAGCATCCATAATATTATGTTTCAATTCAATATTAACTTGGTCAATTGAAATGCCCTCTTTCACCTTGGACTACCTAGCAATTTCTTTTTTCTTCTTAAAATGTGGATGCAATTTAAAACTCTCACTTAAACCATGAACCGAGCATCTTACAATCTGAGAAAAATATATGAAAGTTTTAAAATTCAACTTTCTAAAAATAAGCATTCAATTTAGAACCTAGCCATATCTCAATAGGATGCTTTTTTTTAAATATCTAACTCAACTAAGACTTGAGCCATCAACGGACAAGAAATTGAGGCCGTCGCCTAGTCCTTTTATAATGGCCTACCAAGAATAGAAGAAAGACCAAAGAGAATTTAATTAAAGAAATGAAGCCTAAGATTAGGGAAAGAAACCGAAAAAGGAGAAATCGTGGACTCCTCACGGACATCAAAATTTGGTGTCCACGTAAGGAGTCTCATTTGATAAGCCTGAATATAATAAGATCTTATCAAAAAAATACAACTATAATCAAAATCATTGCTCAGTTGAATCGCCACATGATGGGGATAAGCAAGCCAGTATGAAAGGAACCTATAATCTTCATATTAATGAAAAACTTGTGAAAGGAACCCAAGATCCTAGTATAAAATAAAACATATATTAGTTTGCTAAGAGAGGGGAACATTTTTCCTGATGTCGAACAAGCTAATCCCA